GAGTTTTAGTGACTGCTCACTGAATACTTTACATGCAAATAGCTACAAAGCAGGTTCTACTTGCATAGCCACACTTCTAGTGATGAAACTCAAGCATAAGAGATACAGATGATTAACTGGCTGGACTAGGGTGCTAACCAAATAGTGTGATACCAATTTTACACCTTTAATACCCCTCTCGTGGTGTCTTTGGTAACCTAATCTGTCTCTTGTCATCTAAAGTTCATTTGGATTCCCTTCCAACACATAGGGCAATCCTCCCTCTAATATTTCATTGTTTGTGGGTTGATTGGAGCTTTGTTGCCTGCAGAGGTGGCTGGGCTACAGAGACGATGCAGCCCTGCTTCTCCCCACCCCTAGGTGTTTAGAGGATCCCATTGACCTAGGATCACATTACAAGCAACATTTATGAGAAAATCAATTTATTGCCTAGGGATGAATTTCTTCTACATAACAATCAACAAGGTGGAGCATGTAATTCACAAATAACAAATTTTGCCAACTTTTCAATTATTTACTCTGGAGATAAAAAGTAAAGCTATAAATTAATGGATCTGTGATTTTCACTCCCTCAGTAGTCTTTATGCCATTCATGTATATTTTAACATAAGACTGTGAAGATAAATATCCAATAAAACAGTTTAACAGAGAAGTCTATAAACAAGCTTTAGTGTTCTGTTTAAAATAGTGCCTAAAATTGCAAAATTTGACTACTGAGTGATTCTATATCACAAAGAGTGTAAAATCTGTAGACCTACCTTCAGCAAAAGAGAATCAGAAGTGGCAATGTTTTAGTATTTATAATAAACTTTTGAGCACCTGTGGTAATGGGAAAATCTCCCTCAGGTACTATCTAAGTAATTATGAAAGAAATAATGACAAAGATTCTACAGACATCTCAGGGGTAGAAATTAAGTCCTGCTGATAGAATTATTAACATATTCTCAACACTATGAGATAATTTATCTCCCACTCTCCTACAGATAGCATCCGTACATTCACACATTGCCAATTATACACCTCACTAGAATTTATCAGTGTGCATCTTTAAATACGTTGGTGAGTTACCTTCCATTTTTATATATGACTGTCCTAAAAAGCACAATGTGTGAGGAGAGATGAAATCAACAACTCGTGTATCATGAATTCCATCATTGTTCTCATGTGTCAGCTGCCTCAAAATAAAGACAAAGAGGTAGCACCTTGGAGAATGACCATGAGTAGAGGTCAATATGAAGAAGGAGATGGACTTTAAAATCAGACATCTTGGAGGAAACCCTTGGCCCTAATACTTTATGTGAACTTGAACAAGTAACATACTAAAGAGCCTTTACATTTGTATCTGTAGAAATTACACTAGATTCTGTACACTCCCCCCAACAAAATTAAAAGTCCTGGGGATGTAGCTCCGGTTAAAAGCTAAGGTTTCTACCTCTACTACCACGAAAGTTATAAACACTGTAGAAACCACTATTTTACAAAGCAATTGTAATGATCTCAGATCCTATAAAAAGTGCATTCTATCTGCAATACTTCCTTTAAATTGTGGGTGTAAGTTTGCGATACATAACAATTACATTCACCTTAGGGAATTGGTACACATACATATCACATCCAGATCACTGTATTTCTCTTTCATCTCCTCTGCTCCCCTTTCTCTACATCCCTTTTCCATGTTTACACAGTCCACCTGATTGCTACCAGCTCTCTTTTAATTTATCTGTGTGCATTATTCATATTTTGAGTTTCTCATTTAAGAGACTCGGTGGAATAAATATTCCTTCTGTGTATGATTTATTTCTTTTAGCATCATGGTCTCAGAATTATCCATTTTCTTAAAAGTGATGCAAGGGTATCCTTATTTTTTTTCTTTCAGCCTAAGCAAAGGAGCTTTGATTTATTGCAGGTGTGTGATTTTGTTGGCCCAAACACAGTTTATATTACATAACTGGGAGAGAGTCAAGAGGCCAGATTTTTTTTAGTATACTCTTATTGGAAAGGTAAATATGCAATAGGAAGCAGTGGAGAGAAACATTTTCTGTATAATCTACTAAGCTTGCCTTTAAGAAATTGTAGTTCAGTTCTAAGCAAAGTGTCGTTAATGCATGACCAAGGATTTTCTCATGACTTCTTTTACGTATTAGTGCCATTTTAATGTGTTGATTTAACAGTTGCAATTACAACTTTCCATCATTTCTAAAACACAGTATTAGTGCTGACTGTTATCTTGTGTGCTTGATTTTGAAATCTGAAGTTTAACATTGCTTTTAATGTCACATATTAATATGCAATGACATAAACATCTGGAATTTTAGTCCTAGCATCAAAGCATCCATCATATTTTCAGTCAGTTTGGTTAGTTGTATGTGCTTTTGCTGTTTTATCAGTGTAATAGGCCCTTCCATAAGACTAGAGAGAGTGCTTACACATATAATTTAAGATAAAACCTCTATTTTCTATTGCTGCTAGATAGATTGGAAACAGAGCTTGGTAGTTCTAATAAACCTTGTTTTAAAGCATTAACTGCCTCTCCCTCTACTGTTGGAATACATGCATTTTACACGTAAAATTTTGTCTACATTTAATACAGTTGTCTACATTTTAATATAGTTCAATTTTTGTCTACATTTTAATATAGTTCAATACCTTGTGTTCAGGCTGTCCCTTATGTACAAAGCAGTGTTACACCAAGTCACATACACAGCCTTCACAACCCCCTTAAGAAGGTAGACTTATAGATGAGGAAACTGAGGATCACAGCTGTCCATGGCTGCTGCCTGTATGCTGCATTGCAGCATCTTTTTAGGTTAGGTCAATTATATGGAGCATGGAATTAGAGGGGTTACATGGGAAAAAAAACACATACATGGTTGCATAAATATTTTTATGTGAGATAATAAGTCTTGATCCCAGGCCTTTGGCACTGAGCTACATCCTGAGTCTATTTTATTTAATTTATTTTAAAATTCAGTTTTATTTTAAATTTTTATTTTAATATTTCAAATTTCCAAAATTTATTTTTATTTCATTCATTTTAATTTATATTATATTTTAATTTTGAGACAAGGTCTCACTAAGTATCCCAGTATGGACTCAAACTTGTAATCCTCCTACCTCCACCTCAGGGTGCTTGGATTGTAGGTGTGTACTACTATATCTGGATGCATATTTGCTTTTTCTTATTTGAAACAGAAAAAAAAAACAGTAAATGCAATGCTATAGAATTGCAAAACAAGAAAACAGGAAATTTACAATGGCTAATATATTGTGTACTGTTATCTTCAAAGTAGTTGCTTAGATTACAAGATATAGACATGCAAGACTGATTAAAAAATATGAACACAAACTGTTCCCTTCAATAAACAATAGAAATTAGTAGTATAACTATCTTAGCTATCTTGGGTGTGTGTGTGTGTATGTATATATATATATAAGATAATTGAGATAGTTACACTACTAATTTCTCTCAGTTCATTGAAAAGAAAGGTTTGTGCTAATATTGTTTGGGCAATTAAATGCCTA